GGGGGGCGGTGTTTTACAATGAGCAAGAAAAAAGAGGAGCGCATCCTGCCACTCACAAGGCCACAGCGAGACCTCGGGCTGGGAGGAGGGGCCAAAAAGCTGTTTCATGAGACTAAACAAGAGGTCTCCGGTCCTCACCTGGGGTTAGCCTCGCCCCCACAGAGCCATTCTACAGGAAGTGCTGGTCAGTGAATGAATGTGCAAATGGCTGAAATGACAGGCTCCAGAGTGACCCATGGCCTGAGGTCTCGTTCTGCAAAGGCTGAGCTGAGGAAGGGGTGGAGAGGGGAGCGTCCCAATGCCAGGTCTGTGCTTCCGTGGGGTGTGCCTACACGAGCCCCCCACCCCCCACTATAATGCCTGGTAGGCAGTGGGCCCCTATGCCCACCACCCTGGTGCCCAGAACCCCCTGCGGCCACACCTGGCAGGTGAGGGTCAGGTCAGGAGGTGCACGAAGAGGATGGCCAGGCCGATGTTCAGCAGGATCACCATGCAGATGAGGACAGTGTTGGGGACCTAGAGGTGGAGAGAGGCTGCTGAGTGCCCGGGGTCTCTGAGCACCGGCCTGTCTCCCTCCGCCCACCCCATCCCCCCACACTCAGCTGGACAGAGGCTTAAGAACCAACTGAGCCCTCCTGAGGGCACCACCACTCCCTCCCCCCATTTTGCCCACCCAGGGACATGGGCAGAATAGGACCCAGACTCAGGTGCCCTCCCCACCCCCACCCCCACTCCTAGACTGGCTCAGTGTCCTGTGTCACTCCTCCCTGCTGTGACCCCAGCACGAAGCCTGCAAGCACACAGCCTGCCACCCTGAGCTCAAGACCTGTTGGGCCCTCCGTGCTACACCCCGGCACAGGTGTTGCCGGTACCCAATTGGGCCGGGCACGGGTCTGCCGCTCCTGTCCTCTGCCAGGGCAGCGCAGGGTCCCTGTGGGTCAGGCCAGGGCTACTCCAAGCCCACACCCCTGCTGGGATCACTCCCCCTGCCCTGCTGATGCCCCTTAAAGCACCCCTGCTTTGCTGCCAAGCTCACCTCTTCCACCTCCACCTCCGCCTCGGCTGCCAGCGCAGCCTCCTTCCGAGCCTTCTTCTTGCCCTTGGTCAGACCTCGAGCCTCCGTCTTACGAGCCTTGGCCTTGGACTCAGCCTTCGGGACGATGGGCTTGGGCTCCAGCTTGGCTAGCGGCTCCGACTCTGGGCCCCGGGGCGCGGGGGCC